CATTCACTTTAATCTATTTTAAGTTTATATGTTCCAATACTTTTGCTCACCTAAAAATTTTGTGTTCCATTACAAATAATGCTATCTTCTAAGTTGTGTATCAGATCCAGATGTAAATACCTGGAAATAAAAGCTGAAATGTTGATCTCTTGTCTCATATTCATCTTTTGATGTCAAACCCAAATGTTTTCAGTCTACAACAAAAGTAAACAAATTGGACTCACTGTTCCAATACTTTTGTAGGGCACTGTAAGTGGTCCATTAGAGTGTCATCCTGATGAGCTAAGTAACTATCTAAAAATAAAATCAAGTTTCTTGCTGGAGGATAAACACCATATGGATAAGAGATTTTTCACAACCTGGCAACCGAAACTTTGTTTTAATGGCTTATAACTGACGTATAAAGCAATATTAGTAAATGAATTAGTAACTGTGAATAGAGCATAAGTTAGATATGTTTATACCCTTTATAAAGAGTGACTTATTAGGAAGATGTACCAAAAAATATGTGGAGCACTACACTACAGGGCGCCACCTCTTCAGTTTGCCAGTGTGCATGTAAGATGTATACATTTCCTAACCCTTTACTTGTGTTAAAGCACATCCTTCTCATTGTGTTTGACAAGGTGGCCTCAACTCAACTTAAACAGCATCCTGGCGCTCTATTACGGGACGCTCTGAGATAAGAAAGCATGCTTTCCTGCTTCCCACAGCACTCATTGGAGAGATAAGGCAGCTTGTAGGGTGACACGTTCTGGTCAGCGGTCACACATGATAACCCCATGAAACAAAAACAAGATGGGACCTGACAGAAAGCCCTCAAGAACAATACAGCCTGCAGCGGTTGGTGGCTGCTCGTTTTATACTGACGGAGTACGTTATACATTGACATAAGAAATGTAGCAGTCTCCCTTTGATCCTCCGAGTTCTGAGGCTGGATTAATTAATTCTTAAATCAAAGTCTTCAGAGTGCAGACAGCTTGTTTTTGGCTAACAGTGACTCATAAAGTCAACACGCACCAGATTACTGTGCAGTCATTATCATGTATGTGTTCGTAATGCGGGAAGGTTTCCATTCTTGTGACACAAGGGGCTGTTTGTATCCTGTAATGGGGTGGGAGGTTAAGTGACTAACAACAAAGCGAGGGTTTCCCATGCTGCACTGCAGGTCTGTGGCCGACAGCAGACCCAGCTGCATTTGTTTACAGCTCACCTCTTTCATCGTGACAAACACTCTCACATATGTTCATACATCCCGTGTTGCCTCTTTTACCCTTGTGGCACTTGGTCTGAAATCAGTTTTGAATCCGTCCCATCAAAGACTACTTACATACCTCACTTTATATAAGCAGCGACACATGCACATGTGCATAGACGCAGACCCACCCCCCATGCTGTTTTATAGTCAAACACCGGTCCCTCTCCACATGTCGTGTTTAACAGGCAGACTTTTATACTAAACAACCCTCCTCCCCGGGGTGAGGGGACAAGCTGGTGATTGAACATGTGGCCGTGCCGTGGTATGCTGCTGGTATGCCTTTTATGTGCTGCTTTTTCCTCTTGGAGCAGCAGAGTTGGGGCCTGTTGTCTCCTTGTTGTGCCCCTCAGCAAGCAGGGTTGATTTGTTGATAAACTCCAGGGTCCGTCCCAGCTGTGGTTTTCGGGAATGCAGCGGTGCATTATATTCAGTTCAACGCTGATCACCATATGATGGGAGATGAGGCAGTGGTCTGTCATTTTCTCTGTTTATGTCCATAATAACAGGCTCAGGTAATGACTGTTTAATGAGAGTCGACAGTAGCCCCACCATAAACATAAACGCAACGGCATGTTTTTTAAAAAGTGAGAATTAAAATGTAAAAGTGGAAATACAGCATGGAATATAATGACATTTTATTCCCTTGAGGTTTGTCAATATTTGTTGGGGAACCAAGTCGTTTCAATGTTTGAAACACGTTGAGTGAAGACTCCAGTTTAAGATGTCATCAAAAAAAACTTTGGAGCTGCTTCATGTGAAGATGCAGGGAGTACCTAACAGTGTCTCTCAAAATGAAGTAAGAGAAGCCCTCCAGTAAATACTACTATGATGAAACCTCGTCTTGTTGTGAGGGTAGAATGGAGCATGAGATGGATCGGCAGTTTGGTGCGGCTCCTGCAGTGATGCGGGCACTGTGCCAGAACGTCATGATGAAGAAGGAGCTGAGCTGGAAGGCAAAGCTTTTCAATTTACTGGTTCTTCTACGTCCCAACCCTCACCTATGGTCATGAGCTCTGGGTAGTGACTGAAAGAATGAGATTGCAGATACAAGCAGCCGAAATGAGTTTCCTCCGTAGGGTGGCTGGGCTCTGCCTTTTAGAGATAGTGTAAGGAGCTCGGATACCAGAGGGAGCTCAGAGTAGAGCCGCTGCTCCTTCATGTCGAAAAGGGTCAGTTGAGGTGGTCTGGGCATCTGATTAGGATGCCTCCTGGGTGCCTCCCATTAGAGGTGTTCCAGGCAAACCAGTAGGAGGCCCCAGGGCAGACCCAGAACACACTGGAGAGATTACATATCTCATCTGGCCTGGGAACACCACGGGGTCCCCCAGGAGGAGCTGGAAAGCGTTGCTGGGGAGAGGGACATCTGGAATATTTTGCTCAGCCTGCTGCCCCCGTGACCCGGCTTTGAATAAGCGGTTGAAAATGGATGGATGTATGGCTCGTTGCAGAGAGGCTGCTCACAACGGTGGCTGACCTGAAAGCACAGCTAATGTTTGGTTTGTCCATTCTGTGCTCCTGTAGAAACATGGCAGTGCAGCATGAGGATGAGGACCCACTCCTTAAAGGATAACTTCAGTATTTTTCAACCTGGGCCCTATTTCTCCATGTGTATGTGTGCGTATGATTCATAGGTACAACTCGTTTTAAAACTGGTTCAGTATTGAGGGAGGTGGATGCAGCTGGCAGGTGCGAAACGAGCTAAAACGGTAGATATGGGGGCAAATGCGTCCCGTGTAAGTTTGCCCATTAAAAGTGCTTTTTTCGCCACTGACCGGTTCAGATCGCCAGTGCTATCTCTGTAAATAGCATACTAAGCGTTTCCCTTACCCTTCACTTCCTCTGGGTCTCTGACGTCATCTCGCAAGAGCTTTGCTTGCAGTAAATGTGCGTCTCGGAGACAATTCTAGGTATCAGTATTACATGCATAAAGACATATTAGTTATACTTACTTGACGGATAGTTGACCATTTGGCCCCTGAGGTTTTGGCCGCCTCCTCCAATTTATTTTGGGCACATGAAAAAAGGTATCCAGCACTGCCCTGTTGATCAGAGGGGGGAAATCCTCTAACGTAGTTACACAGCATTTGGCAGTTTCTGTATCATCCCAGGACACATCGAGACCATGAATATTGGGCAACAGGTCCCACTCGTTGCAACACAGACATTCTTCCTCTGTGGGCATGGAGTCACAGCAACCACAGGAGCACCACCAGTCCGTGTCCGTGCAGCCGCTGCTTCACCCTCGTCTGCTCGTTGGCCCTCTCTCTCTAGCCTCGTCGGCTCTTCAATTTGTAGGAGCTCCTCGTCCGTATACTCTGGCTCAAATAAGTACGGGCGGCCATCGTAATAAAAGAGCTCATCCTCATTCTCGAAATCGGGTAAATATGCAGCCATGGTACCGATGCAGTAAAACTCTCAACTGTACTCCGGGACAACCAGCGCCACTCTGTGCGGCGTTCAGCATGGCTCCTCTGTTTTCTTCCAGCAACAAGCAAAGCTCTCGCGAGATGACGTCACACACAGCCCAGAGGAAGTGAAGGGTAAGAGAAACGCTTAGTATGCTATTTACAGAGATAGCACTGGCAATCTGAACTGGTCAGTGGCGAAGAAAAGCACTTTTAATGCGCAAACTTAAACGGGACGCATTTGCCCCCATTACCGTTTTAGCTAGTTTCGAGGCTACCGGCTGCATCCGCCTCCCTCAATACTGAACCAGTTTTAAAACGAGTTGTACCCATGAATCATACGCACACATACACATGGGGAAATAGGGCCCAGGTTGAAAAATACCGAAGTTATCCTTTAAGTAGACAGAAACAGCTCTATTAAAGGTAACAAAAACACACTAATTTTCAAGTGATAATACACTATGTGAATGTGCAACTTAATAATACAAGATAATTGCGAGTTTTTAGAAGCAAAACACAAATCTCTGCCATTAGATTAATATTAAGTCAAGAGCAAAATGCACTCTGCCATATTTTGGATATTCTCTTCCTTGTGTTACCTCTCTCTGCTTGACAGCCTACCAGCTCTGAACCATAGTTGGGAACACGCTGGCTTATTAATGTCAATTTTAGCTTGGCTCGTCATTAGCTGGTAACTGGCTTCTAGCAGTAAGAACCACTTTACAGAAGGAAGGATGGTGAGGCATTCAGATGTCGTTCACCAACAATGGCTTTATTGCAGTCTTCTCCACAAAACAACAACCATGGCCTTCTCATTGGGTTTAACAGTAGCCCTGAGCTTATCTAGGCACTTAATTCTGCTGACTATCATCACTCTTTGCCACCATGACACTCCGAGAGAGCTGCTTCCCTCCATACACACACAATGAAGCACACGTCACATCCTCACAGGTTACCCACAAGGCCACCGTCCTTAAAGGGGAAAAATGTGAGCCGGTAACACTTGTCAGAAATCTGTTCATCCTGTCAGTTGGTTTGAATTCAGTCTTGCAAACCTGAATCGTCCTTCATGAATATGATATGAGCTTGAGCTGTTCTCTGCATTTTTCCCCCTGGACATGTGCGACCTCCTCCAATGACCCCGCCCTCAGTTAGAGAACTTATAACACTTGACCGTTGTCTAACTATATTTATGTAACTGCAGTTGGCCCAAAGGTCAAGCCATATCTTTGCTACGCCTCCAGACTTAAAAGAAAAACTGAAAGGTTTCTGAAATGTCTCTCTCTGACCTGCAGCCTCGGCCCCATCGCTCACTCTGAATCTGTCTTTTTCAGATGTTCAGGTTGTTGTAGAAAATCCAGGGCGTCCCCAGGGTCCAAGTACGACCCTCACAGGGCCGGTTGGTCCCCCGGACGTCCTCCTCTTGCAACCACCTGTGATGGAGACTGGAGAGGCGGGACCCCCGGGCAAGATGATCCCGTCCAAGTTACCCAGGGGGACAGATGGCAGCATGATGCCCGTCCAGGGTTTTGCTGGAGCTCCAGGTGAGACACGCCCACATGTATACATGTACATGCATTCTGCTCTGCACGTTTCCCAGGATTACTTCATGTTTCTTATTTTTTGGTTTTATTTTATAGCATCTCCAGCCAAATCCACTGATTCGCTGAAGATTATCATGCCGGTAGTTTCAGGTAAATCACCATTTCACTTTTATTTGCATTACAACTGAGCCCCTCAAGAGCAGATTCAAGTATTTTTCCTCTGATCACCAGATGTGAACATGCCCCCCAGACTATCACCACAGCAACCTGTCTCACCATCAGGTCAGAATTTAATCATTACACAAGTTCCTGTCTCTCTTAATATGATTAGTGTCTGATGTTTCCTCTCCTGTGTTCAGGTGAGGTGTCGTTCTCAGCTGGTCTGACTCTTCAGCCGCTCCAGGGAGAGACTGGAGTCATTCGATTCAACAAGGTGCTGGTCAATGATGGAGGACACTATGACGCTCAAACAGGTAACTGTTACTAAAGTCTTACTGGGCCAAACAGCGAAGCGTAAACCTTCATTTTACTCCACTGTGCAGGTGATGGCAGGAAACATCAGACTGATAGTCAATACGCAGATACACAGCACACAAGTAGGCTGAATTTTACTTGCATATCTGCTTATTGACTATCAAATTGTCCGAAGCATTGTCAATTCATTTTTTGTCAGCTGAATTACTGATTAATAAATTATTGCTGCAGCATGCAGTTAATTTTTAAAAAGTCACTACACCATTTGCTGCGGACTATTTTCTCGTTCTATAGGCTACATTAGTGGTTTCAACCCCCAGGGGGTGTTGAGGGAGTTCCAAAGGGTCCCCAGAAAATGGCCAATAGTTTATATTCAGTATTAAATTCACAACAGAAGTGAACGCAATGTGCGTTAAAGTCATAAGTCATATTCTGATCGTAGGTTTCACCACCTTAATCATATCTAATGACCAAAATCTTTTCAGATGGAGTCCCCTTAAGTGAAATCTTATCAAATGTGGGTGTGTGATCTAATGTGTATCAGTTCAGGGGCCTTAACTTGAAAAGGCGTAGAAGCCACAGGGCTAAATGCTCATAAGACAGGTCAGCTTATTGATGCTAGCAGCTCTATGAGGCTGTACGTAGGCCAGCAGTGCTTTGAGCTAAAATGCTAACTGCGTCATCCTAACATGCAGATATTGTGCAGGTTAAAAGACTGCATGATAAATTTAGTTTTTTTCATCATTGTCACAATGTCATCGCATGAAATACATCGCGAAAGACTGCAATATTGCAGTCAGGGATTTTTTGAGTTAGTCGAAAGAGAGTATCAGTAAAACCTGCACTTTAAAATGTAACTAGTATTCTAGTAGTAGTATTTTTTTTTATTAGTGCTTTTTATGTCTAGTTCAGTGTTCAATGAAAGAATGGTGAAAATAATCACTTCTAAAATTCTTTTTTATATTCAACAAGCAATTTGTGATCAGTTTAGGAAGTATTTATTAGTCACAAAGCTTGGGACAAATTACATTTTTAAGTGATTTCAGTCGAACTTGAGGACATATTTGTGTTCCAGATTTCATGGGACTCTGTAGAATAGTTGGTAGACATCTTACTGAAAACACAAAGATGTCAACCTCATGGTCGCACTATCAGAGAAGTCAGAAGATCACTACAATCAGCAGGATTTTTCCTCTGGGGAACATGAATGTTTGTACAAAATTTCATGAGAATCCATCACAGGTGTTAAAATATTTTAATGCGGACATAGAAGTCATTTTATGTCAGACTTTGGTAAGAACGTTTGTACTGAGAGCATCTCGCTGTGTTCTCAGGCATCTTCACAGCTCCCACAGACGGACGCTACCTTGTGACTGCTGTGCTCACAGCCCAGCGAGGTGAGAGGGTCGAGGCTGTCCTGTCTGTGTCCAATCGCAGTATCCAGAAGTTGGACTCCACGGGCTTCTTATCAGGAGCAGCGGCAGCGGCACCGTTGTCGCATAATCAGTGTTACTGCAGCAGTTCAACCTCACTGAGCCTGGTTCTGTCGCTGAAGAGAGGAGACCGCGTGGGACTGGTCATGAGTGCTGGAAAGCTCGCCACCTCAGCCTCCTCTGAGATCCTGTCATCTTTCAGTGCCATGCTTCTTTACCCCAGCCCATCAAAACGGTAGCCTTGCCCTTTTTAAAGACACCTTTATATAAGCCATGAGTGGAGTATGATGCGGACATTACTGAGGACACATTAAAGCTAATGGTGATATCACATTATCAGAGGAGGGACAGACAATCTCTAAACCAGCAGACAAAAAGACAAAAAGAGGAAAAATGTTCTCCAGATAATAATTGAGAGTATTTCTATCATTAGTACTAATATATGATGTGTTTACATTGCAATTATTTTATGTTTATGTTTATTGTAAAGTTTGATCTAAATCTTACAAAAACATGTTTTGCTTCAACAGATAACCGCCGTCCACTGCAGTAGTTTCTTCCTTAATATTTAAAAACACTGCATCTTGTACTGACACCGCCCAGTAGACTCATGTTCAGGAATTGTTAGTAAGAAAATTTAGATTCCAGTTGATCCAATTTGCTCATTACTTACTTAAAGGGACAGTTCACCCTAAAATTAAGAAAATACATATTTTTCCTCTTGCCTGTATTGTTATTTATCCATCTAGATTGTTTTGGTGTGAGTTGCCGAGTGTTGGAGATATCAGCTGTAGAGATGTCTGCCTTGTCTCCAGTGTAATGGAACTAGATGGCACTCAGCTTGTGGTGCTTAAATCACCAAAAACAATACCCTTGAAAAACTCAACAGCAATGTCTCTTTCAAGAAATCATGACCTGATTACACAGACCTTGCTGTGAGTAGTTTCATCTAGGAACTATTTTCTTTCTACTGAACTACACTCGCCAACTGTGTCCCTGCACAGAAGGAAGCGTGCATCTACTCATGTTTCAGAGGCTCATGCTCATGACAGCATGAGATGTAAACATTAATGGCATCCTCTTGTAAATTTGCATTTCCCAGAGTGAAGGCATGACCCACTCTGTTCTGCCTCAGAATGACTTATCCTAACATTTTTAGCCTAACCCTAACCAGTCTCACTCCTCTTGCCTCAGGGCCCTGACACACCAAGCCAACGGTCGGTCGTCGGTCAATGCTGGGCAGTCAATGAGCATACGTCTCCCTAGTTTTTTCCACTGTGTCCACACAGCTGGCATTAGTGGGCTTGTTGCCTATTTTTGGGCTGATTGAGCATGTTGAAACGGCATCAGATCACTCACTTGGTGAATGAAATCACTCTGGCAGCCCATGAGGAAAGTAAACAAATGACCAAATTCAAGAGGGTTCGAGATCGAAACAAGCATTCTATATGAGGTAATATTATTTGTTTTAGCCATTGAGCTGTGTAGAAGAAACAATTCATAACTGTGTTTTTCTTCTCTCACGGTAAATATCCTTAGTTCTTTCAGCATCAGGTTGTGTTGTTAATGTGCTAACTGGCTAACAAGCATCTTCAATCCGTCCTGTCAGTCTTTCAGTTTCCCTTTTTAAATAACAAATGCAGACTACTGTCGCCTGTGGTTATGGAGTTAGTTCCTCTCACAGAGGCACAGGATGTACGTGCTGATTGGCGACTGTTAAGGTGCGACTTTTTGGCCAAGACACAGGTGATGCGAGGCAACACAACAGTCGGCCTTTGTCGCTGCTAGTTCTTTGATGTTGGTTTGGCATGTCTGGGACATAAACCAAACCAACAAAGGCAACAAGTACTAGCCAGTCAGAGGGACTGGTCATGCCTTCAGTAGATCAAGCAGTAGATGCACGCTTCCTTCTGTGTGGCAGGTGTAGTCGGCAGTCAGTTCAGTGTTTGTTTTGTTTTCTCTTAGAAACAGCATCCTACAGTTCACACTAGTTGTCATTATTGCAGATGTCTGACATCAGTGTTATTGTTGATGGTGATGTAATCACGCACACATGCACGCACGCATGCACACACGCACGCACACACACATTTCTTATTGATGAAAAATCCTCAATAATGTGCAAAATAAGCTTTAATTGTTCTTTCAAATACAGTTTGTGCTTTTATAAAAGCATCATCCAACATTTGATTTAACAGTTCATTAATACAATAACACAGTAAATATAATATGTACAGAGTTTATACTTAAACTATAAAATGACTTTAAATAATTCACGTTTTCTCACCTCACACTATCTAACAAATAGAAAGCAGATCAAACAGTTGAATGCATTCATAAAACAGTCGTCCAAAACATACTTTGTGCTTATATTGTTACATCATCATGTAACCTGGATTATCAGGAGGTAATCACAACAATCTACTGAAAACTCATGAAGCAGCAGCAAAGTATCTTCACTGAAAAGTGAAATATGACTCCACAAAACCAGGAAATAACAAAAGTTAATCACTTTCATAGAAAGAATTCACAATTTTCTTTACTTACAGCAGCTGCTGGGTGTGAAAATGATCATAACAAAAAACGAGGCATAACATTAATATACTGTACAATGGCAAAGTCTGACAAAAACATCCCGCAAAGATCAGTTCATCAAAAATAGTTGTCTGCTATCAGTCTAACTAACTAAATCTTCATCTGGAAAAATACTTAATACCAAACAGCAGCAGTGTCTAAAGTACAGAAAGGACTTTTTTTTTTTATAATTGCAGTGATGCAATTATTACCTATGAGCCAAATATTTCACATTCTTTTCTTTATAGCACAACAGTGCAAAATCACTAAGCTACGAAGACTATTAAAGAGTGAATAAGGCCTTAAATGGAAGAAAACAACTGCTATATATATTACCTTGTACTTTTATGACAGCTCACGAGTCAGAGAGCGAGAGCAGTACAGTCAGTATTTTTGTTTCACAGCGAACAGTGGCCAGTTAAAGCACCTCCGCCGCCTGAGTAAGTGCTGAGGGAATATATTCTCATAAAGCTTTGTAACAGGAAAACTATGCAAATGGTAAGAACAATAACTGATAAGTCATACTTTGGCTGTGGTGCGTGCCAGAAGCTGACAGAGTCTTCAAATACACCTCCTGACTGTAGCTCAAGCACAAGAGCACAAGACCATGAAGGGAGTAAGCTCAGAGTGAGAAGATGATGTGCATTAAAAGATAAGGAATACATAAATATCCCAAACTTTTTCCCCTAAAGTGGAATGTGTCTAAGACAATATCGAACTATTCCAGTAGCCTAAAAACTGACAATTACAAAACTATCAATAATATAAGCCAGTGCGTACAGACGTAACTGTTCAGTTAACCTGATTTCAAGTATTTCACTGAAACATTCACATCAGTTTAAGTTACAGCAGCTCCTCAAAACACACCTCAGCGATCGGCTGCCTCCAGTAACAGAAGGAGCTGAACTCTGGGCAGCTGAAGGTGGCGTTGTGTTGTGAACTTCGTAAAGGGAAAACGTGCTCCACCAGCTCACTGAGCCGGCTGTATCTGTGAAGCAAAAAAGCAGCGATGGGAACAATAAACATCTGTGTGAGAGAAACAGCTGACCGGAGCAAACAATGACTTCATCGATGCTTCCATACTTACGATGTTTTATTGCCTTTGGCCTGCTCCAGGATCAACTCCCCTTTGGGGTTCACTGTGAATATTCGACACACGGGCACGCCCACTTGCTTGTAGGCAAACACGTCCTTAAACACAGGAGGGAAAGAGTATAAGGATCGTTGTCAGAGAAATGGTATCTAACGGAACAAAACATTACACCTCTTTTTCATTAAAATATAATCTGCTGTGATGAAGAAAAGTGTGTGATGGTGAGGAAAAGATCCAAACTTAAAATGACACAGTAACAACAAGTTAACACTTACGTTTTCTCTGTTCCCAAAGGCTGCATAGAAGGGATGTGTGTTTGGGAAAAACAAGTTCTTGATGTCTGTGAGGCATTCGATCTTGAACTTCTCTGGCTTTTTTTCGATGATCTCTCTAACAAGAGAAATACAAAAGGATTGCAGACTTTAACCTTTGACCTTTCACTGCTGCTGCAGCTGCCTAGTTTAAATTTAGACCATTTCAATCACATATGACCATTTAGAGTCAAATAATGTCCAAAATGCACAGAGAGAAACAGGTTAGTGGAGATTTTGGTTTTCCAATACTGTTCAAGTCTGTCTTTAGATGCTGAACAGTGCAGGATGATGTGATAACTAGTGTGACCCACACTGAAACATTTACAGTCCAGCAAACAGAAGACAAAGCAGATTTGCTGTTATTGTATTGGGATGAATTAATATCTCAATTTTACGACCTTTATACTTATACCAAGTCTCAGAGGCAAATATTGTACTAGGGTGCTTTCACACCTGCACTGTTTGGTTCGGTTCAATCTAACTCAAGTTCGTTTGCCCCCTAAGAGTGGTTCGTTTGGGCAGGTGCGAACTCAGCAATCATACTTGGGGGCGCACCAAAACAACTGGACCAAGACCACCTCTTCAAGAAGGTAGTTGTGTGTATGTGAGTATATGAATTCTACATCCTGTGTCCAAAATATGTAAAGCCACTGCCCTCTACTGTTTGAAACATGCTAATGCAGTTGAATTTTGCTGTTGGATCTTCTGGTGGCAGGTTATGTGTATGGTGGTAGCTTTTGTCACCAACCAAACCTCCGTCCTTCACTTCACAGCAAGAACGTGTGAATAGTCGTGCCTTAGTCCCTGCCTCTCAGCTGTCTATGTTGATACTTCTTCACGTTATAGACAAATTTCCAAAATAGAGACACTTAAGCCATAACTCTGAGATTTAGTTTCTCTTGGCGCTAAATAAACTCTAAAACCATCACCACCAATGTCAGAGATCTGTTAATGCTGCATCATCCTTGGTCAATCAAAAGAGGCTGATAAACATTTAGCACTTAAATCCTGTAATGAATTTAACTTGTGCCTTGCCTTTTCCAAATAATGCTACTGACTGAAAAAATAACTTAGAGTAAATGTTCAGGTAAAGGATTTGTTACCTGTGGAAGGCAGAGAAGAGGCTGCTGGGAGAGAGCATGAGGGGTCCTTGAGGGAGGAGAGTCCCTCTGTCGTTCACCCAGTGCAGATATCCTCGGGTCATGTCAGCCATGCCGATTGCTCGGGCCGAACAGTACAGGAACTTGTAACCATTCCTGTAGCAGTCAGATGTTAATTGATGGATTAAAAATTTTACTTTAACTAGAGCAACTTCACTGTTGGTCATCTTTAACACTGAGAGAATAGTGATCAATCTGGATCTTACTCATGCACTGAGTGGTAAAGCTTGGCGATGCCTTGATGAGTCCAGTCTTTTCCGAGCTGAGGCAGAATCTGACCAAACACATCTGATCTGTGAGGGGATAATTAGGGTACTCAATAAAAAAAATAATTTCACATTTTTTCTAAATTAGATTGAAGGATTTTAAAGGAATACTTTACCTCACAAGTGACCATTTGTATATCAGTTACTCACCCTGTCTTCTGTTTAATTCATGAAGAAAACTTTGTTTTTACCACATGGCTCTGGTGAACGACGAATCCAAAAAGTTCTTGATGAATTTAAGTCATTAGGGTCCACGTTTAACCACAGAAAAACTCTATCAAAACATGTGTTTACAAACTCTCACACAACTTGTGCAGTATAATCCAAGTCCCATTTTTACAGTCATATATGCTCAGTACTTCCCAAACAGGACAGCCCTTTGTGACAGGAAAATGAACTGAAAGTGATACTTATCTATACTCTTTACAAAGCCAGACTCCATTTATAAATCATTTTACTCAGTCATTTTTACCTCACTGAGCACAGTAGCTGCTGATTTACCACTGCCTTGATCAGTTAGTACATCTGTGTTATTAAGTGACTTTGTTGAATCTGAACTAACCCTTTAAAACACCAAAGTCACACAATAACACAAACTAAGGAACTGATTTTAACGGTGTTAGACCAGCAGCTCCTGTGTTCAGTGAAGTAAAATGACTGTTTTTGTCAATGGGGTCTGGCTCTGAAGAAAGCATACATATGTCTCACTTTCAGATCAGTTCTCTGTCGTAAAGGGCTGTGTGTTTGGGAAGTACTGAGCATTTGACTGGATAAATGAGACTTGGATTAAACTGCACAAGGTGCATGAAAGCTTGTAAACAGATGTTTTGATATAGTTTTGCTGTTGTTAAACGTGGCCCCCTATGACCTCAATTCACCAAGCATTTTCTGAGTTTTTGGAATCTTTGCTCACAGAGGAGGCATTAGAGAAAAACTAGGTTTTCTTCCTTTATTTAACATAACACAGAATGAGTAACTGATACACAAATGGTCATTTTGGAGGTGAAGTATTCCTTTAAATCTGCCTGACCTGCCTCAGAACAGTTATTTATTATCGCTACCTAAGAATAAACGTAATATAATTATGAAGAGGTGCATATTTAGACTTCTTCTTACTTGGTGATGGTGCCATCGATGTCAGAGATTATGACCTTGTCGTCCCAGTTCCACAGGTAGATGGTGCCCTCGCAGCGACATGTCCCCTGATACTGAGTGGTTATGCTGAAAGTGACATCATTAGGCCCCTCCCTCAGCTTCAGGCTGGCCTGTAAGAGACAGAAGATGAATGGAGTTTAAAAGAGTATGCAGATTAAGCACTTTATCATCCTTTTAAGACTGTACAACTATTGGAAGAAGAAATACAGTCACTTTTTAAGGCAACAGGGAGTCAATAATGGTATCTTACTGTTACATACACAAAAAATAAACAAAATAAATGAAAGCTCTGCTCTTCCCTTTTAGTTCGACTTTTTTCACCGGGCTTCATTTGACATTTTCAAATAAACAGCAGACTGTCTCTGACTAATTTTTTCAGTGATCACTTGTCTTACTATCTGCTCAGATGACAGACGGAGGGACTTCTTGTAGGAGTGACAGGGCGCTGGTGCTGGGCCCTGTGTCTGCACGTGCTCAGTAGGCGGCAGAGCAGGTGCCACAGCGTTCAGCTCTTTAGTCTCATCGTCGCTCGACCACTCTGCTGTTTTTTGCCTGCAGGAGAGAATACAGTCTGAAGAGAGACCAGCAAACAATTGCAACTGAATTCAGACAAATGTACATCAAAATAAGCTCACTAACAAGACAACACACTGACATAAAGCCATATTTACAAATGTGTGATTCAGGGTCAACAAGACAACCCTGCAGAATCATTTACAGACACTAGAGGGCAGCAGACCTCATCATCTGCCTGTTACTCTGCTTTGTTAAAAATTAAATGTGCAGAATCTTTTTGACTTCTTATTCTACATAAAACCTACATGTATCTTTAGTGATGTCTAGACCAAACTACAAACTCCCAGCTGCCTGGCTCAGGCAATATTTAAAGTTGTTCTCCTGAATTTTCTGTGATGAGTTTATGAGTCATAAAATGACAGCACTGCTCTCTGACTAACATGCTAATCCAGCCTGTGTGGGACATGTTTACCCAACACTGCTTGTGTTGGTGTGTGACTGTAGTGTTGTGAGGAAGCCACAGCTTTTGTTGCTGACTCACTGTGTTTCTGGGGCCTGGTGAAGGGCAGGGCTCTCTCTGGATTCCTGTCTCTCCAACTTGGTCTCTGATGATAACTGAAGAGAGGAGGAGACACCATCAGCCACGTTGTCATAGAAATGCAAAACAGGGATGTTATGGTTACTGATGCATTCTGACAGCCTGTTCCTCATTTGACTAGAATCATTTACAATGCAAAGTCAGACTGACGTCCATGTTACTGTAAACACACAGATGGCTGAGTCACGTAATCAGTACCTGCTTAACGCTGCTCTTTCTCCAGAACCACCAGCGTCCAGACTTTTTTGGCATTTTCTCCTTTACCCAGGCCTCCTCTGTAGCCTGCCATCCAGATAAATTATTCATGTTTAAATAGATATGTATGAGCACATACTATATAAGATCCAAGAGTACACTATATACACATTAGATTGAGAGGATACCTTTGGCAAGTTCTTCTGAAAAGCCTGCATACTTAGTATCAACGGTGCGGCCAGTGTCCAGTTATAATACCTGGAAAAAAAGGTTTATTTAGCTGTAATGTGCATGTTATGTCATTATTAATAAAGATATACTGTGCAGGATTTTCCTACAAAAACAAACAAAAAAAACATCATGGTTTTGCTTAAAATTCACACAGGAACCAGCAGGCTCCCAGGTGAAAGTCCAAAGTTTGTTGGACCCATCCACCTTCTGTCCCACCTGCCTATATGGACTTTGTCACTCTTTATGTTGTGATAGTTGCTGGAGGCATTTCAAAGTGCCACTAACCTGGGCATATTATACCGACGTAACGGGTGTCTGTCTTCATCCGTGTCTTACGCTAACATCCACTGACAAAGGGGCGGTATTTGACGACTTGGGTTGTCACCCGATGCCTCTAAAACTGATGCACCCGGTGCTAATCATATCATCATGAAAGGTGCCTATTTGCATTGGTCTTTGATGCTGAAATCACTGACAAAGCAGTTTTATGTGACGAGTTCAGAGTGAGAGTGGGCTGAATATCGCAACAACACCAAAACCAGAGTAAATCTGGGGCTGGCTTTAACTTTGGTTTCAGCTGGAGAGTGTGTTTACAAACAGTTAGCAACAATCCTGCATAGTATATCTTAAATGAATCATATTAATTAAACTGTGAGTCCAGTGACTGTGAATTAAGGAGGAAGACTCACCTGTTTGCAATTTTCACCACCAAATTGGGATTGTCAATGATTGCTGGATTCTCTGCAAATTCATTGTAGGTGATGATGTGCTCCATGAACTTTTCTGGAATAAATGGAACATAAAAGCCTGATTGTAGATTATGAAAATTGCTCATAATATTAATAACATCATCAGGATGCAGCAGCTGAGAAGCAGGGCAGTCAAAACATGTTATGCATCCTGCTTATTTAATCCTTATTAACAGTCATTCAAAGGTTTATTTGTCACATAACTTAGTAATATGATTGGTGAAATGCAATGTGGTGCTCTAATGTGCTAAAAACTAATGATTGGAGAAAAGAAATATGTATGCTATTCAAGAAAGAAATTTATAATATAGGTCAAATAGTAAAATGTGTGTATGACACAAGTGCAACTACGCAATGATTTATCAGGCAAACAGACAATAAATCTCTTTTTCCATTTGCAAGATAACTATTAGAATCCTGCAGTATAGTGTAGTCAGCTGCTGCTTTCAAAATCTACTTTCCAACCTGTATTCTTTTTTTTTAAAAAAAAAGAACTAAAAACTACATTTTCCAAATGTAGCATCTTCTGATTGAGACATGTTGCATATGCAGATATCACGGGCATTCTTTGGACATGTGTACAGCATTCAAAAGGTGCGTCTCAGCTGGGGTTTTTACTGCAGTTTGTGACACAGGGCCTCTTGCCTTATAATAGTCACCTCGCACACACCACCGAGGCAAAAGTTTGCAAGACTGCAGCAAAGATAAACGTCCAAAAGAAAGGCCCACACCCACTGTTAAACATTATGAAAGACTTGGATATCAACAGGTTGACTGTAAAAATTATGGACATAGCTACCATGACGTCACCCAATGGTTTGTGAACTCCCATTTTGAAACCTCTGATTTGGCATTCCAGTCGTCGCCATCTTGGTTTTTTTGAGCTAAAACTGGTCATATTTGGACGAGAGATTAGAGCTGTGGAGAAGCAAGGGGTGGATCTAACTGACAGAGGACACTGCCTGGCCACACATTTAATTTTGCTTAACTTTAAGTCATATAAATATTCACTCCTTATACAGTTGTCATGAATGTTGAAATTAGTTTGTACTTTTCTGTTTGTATCAGGCTGTAAATATGTAAATTTCTGCTGTTAAGTTGGGCACTTTAACATGGGGGTCTATGAGGATCAAGCCAGCCTCAAGTGGCCGTTCAAAGAACTGCAGTTTTTGGCAATTCCACGTTGACTTCATTTTTCAGCCCTGGAGGGTGCTGCTTGGTTTAAGGAATAAAAGAGGGGGGCTGTGTTCGCACAGTTGAACGAGACATGTGAAGAGCTTAGTAGAAATATTGTCTTTTTCAGTTAAGGGCAAAAACTGAATATCTTGTGCATGTAACATAGTCACTGTTACTGCAGTTGGTAATTGCTGCTAATATTACCTTTAGGGATCTCTGAGTTCTCAGCAACGCCTCCACACAGCGACAGGGTGACGTCAGGCAGGTCACCAGCAGAGTCAGACAGACACTCGGTGCCGCTGTCTGCTGCTGCACTGCCTACAGACTGGGGGGACTGGGATCCAGAGCGCCTCCCCATCTCAACCCAGTGTTTAGGAACCTGCTCAGACTCACTGAAAACACACACAGACAATCTGATTTCACTCAGCAGCAACCACTGAGTTGCATTAACAGTTGCAACCATACAAGTAGGGCTGGGTATCATACATCAGTATTTTTAGCACAAACCCAACTGTGGGTGCACAGAACAAGTACTGAAAACTGTTAAGTACCAGAAGTTGGAATTGAATGTTTTGTCATACATATTATATTCATACTGTACATAATTAAATACCTGGATTCCCAGGTTTGTACCTTTTTGGGAAGTACCGGGCAACAACGTCAGGTTCAAGTGCATTCAGGTCATCCAGGTAAATATCTTCAGGCCCCTGATGTTGGCTCCTCTTCCTCACACCTTTTATAAAAGCAGGAAAAGAGACGCCTTCTCAGAAATCGCTGACTTCATTTTTTTCCTTTCCACTTCCTTTTCTTTGCATGTGAATGCAGCGCAGCCCCAGACACAGAATATAGACTCAGAAACCACATCCTTCCTGTTGACATTCACTTACAACATTCACACAGAGTGTATGTAGAGTACACTCACAAAATCTGACGTTTTACTGAAGACTTTCCCCACGTCATTTCAGATGCTACATAAGAATTACTGAACCATTAGAATTATAATAAGCCTCTATATAAACTGTAAACATGTCAAAGGCTGATAGAATTAAAGGTTTATAGCCTATTTTAAATACATTTATTTGTTTGATTCCCCCCATTCATTGTACTCAGTGACTGATAATTGCTTTTTTCTCAAAAACAGGAAGCAGCTGCATTCTTTATTTTTTGGTAGCCTACAATCTTCCTATTCTTGCCATAATTATATTATCTTGAGATATTAGGGAGAGGGCAGTATCAAAAGATTTCCAGTCAAACAATACCTGCATTTAATAGCTATCGCACTGAGCTGTCAGATCCCCGACCATCCCAAACCCCCAAGGGAACTTTCTGTTGCTGCCGTCTCCAGAGCCAATCAGTTCAACATCCCTGTTAGCACGCGCTAGCATGTAACACCCAGACCTTTAATGGTCCCAAGAATCTCACACAGACACTGACACAACTCAACTCTGTCGATGAACTCATAAATAACCGTAGAGCTCACACACCTGCAGCAGCTACTACCCATACAGTCTGCGGTGGGGTGATGTTGAGCACGGTGTATTTGACGGAGTTAATAGTTGGACATGCCAAGATGCCACCAAAACACCCTGCCCTAAGAGCATAATTTCCATTCCAATAATTTTCATACAGCCCCTAAGACGATCCTTTTTTTATAGAGAAACAGAACCAACAACTTCTGTATTTTCAGAAACCTAGTTATAAAGGACGTTGTGTTACCTCTCCTCTTGGCAGGGGAGTCGGTGGCTTTAGAGGAGGCGCCTGATTCAGGACAAGCTGCTGCCGAGTCTCCAGCCATGTTACTGCCTCCACTGGCAGCAGAGCCGCTGCTCCTGCGGCTGGGTGGCGAAGACGTCCACCTGGTCTTGCGTGTGTTTTTTAGGCTGAGGTCAGAGTTCGTGGAAATGGCCTCAGAGGTAAAACTGCTTGACATTAAATCTGAAATATCCTGCTTGTGCTTGGTAATGTTTGTATTGCACGATGAAGCTTCAGGGGGCTGTGGTTTGCAGCTGCGCTCATCAGCTTTGATGGTCCGAGGCTCTGGCTTTACAATACTGCAAATGGGATCAGTGGCTCTCTCTTCGTCCCTCTCCTCCATGGCTTCTGTGCTCAAGATAACCCTGAAATGTGTGTTCTCAGAGGGAGTGATGGTCAGCGTCTTTGGCTCTGATTTGTCCTTTTTGTTGACCTGAATGCAAGAAAGGCAAGCAGGGAAAGCTTAAACATACGTGCATGCATTTCCGAAAAATTTCACCAAGCCTCTACATATTGAATAAATGAGGATATGAACTTGCAGTTCAACCCTACCAATCTCCCCTCATCTCAAAGTTTAGGCCAGACCCTACAAGTCTAGACCTGAGCCTTACCCTGGTGGATTCTGGAAACTCTCCCCAGGTCCACTGAATGTGGGACTCGGCCCTGAGCATGCTCTCTCCCGGCTTCACCATCAGTTCAGAGTCACTCTTGGGCGACGTGGGCTCCGACATCTCCCTGCTGTAAGCAAACACCACATTTCTACTGAGTCAGCGGTCATGAAGTCACGGGAGCGATTTGTTTTACTCAGCCCTGCCTGTTTTGATAAAGTGGACTGTCTCATTGTTTCCCTGTGCTTGTATGAACAATGTAAATATATGATAGGACAGAATGAGTGGGTGGCGTACGCAGTGCAGGGGGACCAGTCTCCATCAGAGAAAGGGTAGCTGTCCCACTCGAGGGCAGTAAGGGGGGAATGTTGCCTGTGGTCCATATTGTCCTTCATCACGGAGAGTGTAGATCCCCTGAAGACAGGAAACAATGAAATTAATAAAAGGCTTATGATGAATAAGAGATAAAAAAACAGCTTTTTCTACTTACCGTCCATTGTGCGTGTTGTGCTCCTCATCTGAACTGAGCTCACACAGCTCCAGCTCCCCGCCTGCAGGTGTGCTTTGCTCCTCTTTGCGTGGCTCAGCCTTGTGCTTCCTCCTGCGTCTCCTCTTCTTTTTCCCGGCTGTGCTGAAGCAGGGTGGGAGGTTTCCAGAAGCAGAGTCTTCTGGACTCAGAGGCTGAGTGTTCTCTGCTGCTGATCCACCACATCTGGGGTCACTGCTCCAGAGCAGGGCCTCTTCTGTAGGGATGGGCGAGGTCACCAGGTGGGCTGGGACAATCTCCTGTGTTGAGATAAGAAAAACCTTTATACACCGGCCTTTAGACACCAGGGGTGTTTTATGGGGGTTTTTTCACACGATTAATTTGCACGCCAGTGAGCTTGTCTACACCTGGTATTAACATGTATCTTGGGTGAACTGATCACAAGTGGACAGTGCTAAATGGAAATGTAAACGACCACAAAGATGCATTTTGATCTGACCACTCAAACCCCTTGCTGATGTGGTCTGAGATGCATTTGATCACATATGTTTTGTGGAGTACAAGCCAGTGTGTCTGTGACAATGACTCTGTCATCAACACAGGACATGATGGTTCTTTTTCACTCTATAACTTGCCCATTTTGTGACTAGTTGGAGAAAGTGTTGCATGGCCATCCATCGCTTTGCCCTCTGGAAGGAAACCGACCAGCTGTACCGACAAAACCGCTAATGTGACTAGCAAGCATGCTAGTGAGCAGCTAGTGGAATTGTGGCTGTAACAATTGTGCATTGGGCCCTTTTGAACTTCTAGCGTCGATGCATGGTGCTCGGATCATCAAAACGCATATTAATACCAGGTGTGAACAGGCTCAATATATGGTTTCTGCTGCACAAGTATAAATCCTGCTTTAAGGGTCTACAGCTGCTGCATGCTGCTGTGAGGCTGTTGCTAGCCACAGTTATGCTTTCAGCTAAATGCTAACATCAGCATGCTAACATTCTGATGTTGCACAGGTATTTGTTTACCATGTTCACCATCTTAGCTTAGCATGTTAGCATAAAGAAGTGTTTCATGTTGTCATCACAGTGATTTATTTCTACTAGTAAACATCACTTTAGCGGAAATTCAATATAAAAATCTTTCATTTATCATTATAAACTGTTGAAAACTCACATTGTGCTTCTCCGTCTCCTGCACAAAAAAGGCCTCTCCATTGTCTCCAAGCTTCATGTGCAGCTCCACAGGCTCCCCATTGATTTCTATGTCAATCTGCAGAGTCAAACAACACAACTCTGTACAAAGCTTTGCCGTGTACTTCACCACATTCTCCTCAGTTGGCTTCAGGTTTTAACAGACGTTAATGAGGTCTGCTTATAGCAGTAAAGCCCCATATGCATGTACAACAAAGCTTATGGACAAAAAAAAAACTGTGCCACAGATTTACCTTAAGATTTAGAGCTAAGCCACAGAAAAAAAACAGGGAACAGCTTGTACAAAAGCTTGCTATTTTCAGCAAATGCCACCAGTTTCTGTGCATGTGTTAAACAGACAAGGTTTGACTCAGACCTGGGCTGCCTGGATGGAATTAGGTTTTTATAAAAAGGTCAATATGATACAAGTAAACACAGTATGTAGGCTGTATGCACAGCAATGCTTTTTTATCTTTAAATAATCAGAAAGGTTAAGGAAATTACCTAAATATACTGAAGGTGTCTGCAAGATGCTGACATTTTACAAGCGCTCGAGATTAGTCTGTTTTTTCCTGCTTGGTTCCTTAACAATGACAAACATCCTTTGATGTCTCCTCTGCCACGAACAGATGACTTCCTGCACCGTCTGACTCTCCTGAGAGCTTTTTTTGAATGGGTTGAGAATAAGAGGTTGAGAATAAGAGGCTAAATTGAGCTTAAGTCTGTCTATCCCACCTTAGTCCTCAGCTGACAACTACACAGTGTCTATAAATAGAGAGAAAGGGCAGTCTGCTCTGAGAGAAGCAGAGTGTGGATTGGATGGAAGTGTTCAGAGAGCTTCAGAGGGAAGGAGAGGCGCTGAGGGCCACTAGAGAGCTGGAAAAAGTATTGTGCAGCTATCCCACAATTTACTGCATGTTACTGCAGAGTTTTGATTGCAGGATGAGTGAAATATGACAATGCACTGCCACTGCAATAAAGGTAGGGGGGATTTTTTTTAAGGTTTTGAGGTGGAAAATCACTTCAGTTGCACAATTAATCAGGCATTACTTTTCATGTTCTTTTAAAGAATTAACAATGTGTGTGTAAATCATTGCCTCAGAACTTTTAGCTAGTAGACTCAAAACTAAGCATCCAAAATTCAGTCATTATGATCATTTTTTGGGGCACTCACTACTTTCTCCCTGGAGCGAAGCACCCCCAGTTTTCCAAAGCGGACGTGGAAAGGGGAGCACTGGAACGTCCCATCAGGCTGTCGGACCACAATCACGTCGATGCAGCCCGACAGAGTGGCCTGATTGAGCCCCTTATACAGCTCCTTTACTGTCACCAGCACCTGGCCCGCCAGCTGCCCCACGTAGTTCATGGTGTCCACCTGTCAATAAAAACACACTTTATTAAATGGGGCATTCAAATTTTAAAATGCGTCAAACATTTATGACAAATGGCATTAAGGGATAGTTTGGATTTCTTGAAGTGGGGTTGTATGAGGCACTTATCCATAGTCAGTGTATTATATACAGTAGATGTCAGTTGGCATGCTCCCAGTTTGGAGAAGCAGGCAAAAGTTCCAACACTGAGGCAAAGCAATGCACTGCTGTGGATGGGTCAGCAGCAAAAAGTACTTCACATCAATATCAGTGTAAGTGTATGATTTATTCAAAATATATTCACAGCTTTACCTCAATGTCAGACAGCAATTTCTGATGGGAAATGAAACTTTTTATATCACTCTCTTGAAAGCCAGACTCTGTTGAGAAAAACAGTAATGTAAACTCGCTGAACACAGGAGCTGCTCGTCTTCTGCTGCCTGGATTCATTCTTTTGTTTGTGTTATTGTTTGGCTTTAGTGTTTTAAAGAGTTAGTTCTGATTCACCAAAGTCAATCATAACACAAACTATTTAACTGATCGAGGAAGCTGTAGACCAGCAGCTCCCGTGTTCAGCGAGTTTAAATTACTGTTTTTCTCAGTGGAGTCTGGCGGCTTTTGTGCTGTCTGACAGAAAGGTACAACGGTGATAGTGTTCTCAATATAGCATACACTTCAACCAATACTGATCTTTATAAGGTGGGCCCTTTTTTTAAGCTGCTAAAATACATTTTGTTGTTACCCCAGTCCACAGCAGTGCATTGCTAAGCTTCCATGGTGGTACTTCTGTCTGCTTCTCCAAACTGTTGGCACGCCTACCACCATTTCCTGTAGATAATACACTAATTTACAAAGCACCTTACACAAGCCCGCAACAAAAAAAAAATCCTAACTGTCCCTTTAAATATAAATTAAGGTCTTCTTTATAAAAAGTAGGAGGTAATCAACATCCGCAAGAATTTTAAGCCATAAAGTTATAAAATACTAAAAATAATATGAGTGTTTGTTAGGAGGAATAACAGTTGTTTTTTCTTTAATATTTTCATCATTTACTGTGTGTACCTGAAATCCCATTCCACCCAGTTAGTTTGTAGTTTCTCGCCTACCGAAAAGAAAAAAAGACTACAATCCTGCGGAGACTATTTTCAGGAAGTGACATCAATTTCTGGGGGAACTTAAAGGAGTCAAGTTGGGTGAGCATAAACCTTCACTCATCTTTTTTCTCATGTTTCATGATTGTCACACTCTTAAAGTTTCACCCTGTCAGGTTAAATTCTGAATTGTGTTCTCTGTTAGGTTTATGGACCAATACAAATATACTATACTCTGAGTGCCTGAGATTAGCCAATATGTTTTCCTAACAGTTAAATGCATCACTATCTTTTTTATAACAAAAAAAAACCATGAGAAATAGCCTACATCTTTTTTATCATGAAGTTATGAGGCCAGAATTAAGCTGCATAACATAAATGACCCAGTGAGCCTGTATTTAAAGACAGTATTCTGCATTTATTAGCTCCTATAACAAGTTAAAACACACCTGAATCTCTAGCAGAGTGAAACCACACACTACTTTCTTTCTGCGTCTTACTAGGTCAGTGTCCCGGCAGTAAGGCTCCTGTTGATCAGAATAGTCTGCAAAGGAAATGCATGCCGGTCCCTAAACACAGTGGCTCTGTCCCATTTTCCTCAAAAGAGTCCTGAGCTGACGAAGACTTAATCTGGCCCTCGACTGCACCAACAAGGCTGCTGCAGACCAGCGCAGAGTGGACAGTGTGTGTTTCTGTCTACACATAAACCCACCCCAAAAATCACAATTTGGGCCAATATAATCAGCCACTTTAACTCGTTTTAAACTCACATGTCACTATTTTCACTATTTTAGCACATCACTTCACTGCTGAGTGTTCCACCAGTTTTTTAATGCACCTGGATTCTCTTGATCCTCCCTGTACGTCGGTGTTTGTCATATGAGTGTCATTATGTGCTCTCAGCTAGGCTCAGCATCTGTAATTACTGTGGAGGGCAAAACACCATTTTCAATGTGAGCTCAAATATTTTTCAGATAAATGTTTGAATAACTGACCTATGGACAAGGACTTTTCGTGTGTGCGTGTGTGTGTGTGTATATGCAGCCTGAACAATGACACCACAACAGTGTGTTTCAGTATTTAGGACAATGGTTCACACTGACTAAATCAGAGCTGCATACCAGCTGGATGGACTTTGAAACCATTCAGGCTCAGTCTAGTATAGCCATGATAATTAACTCACCATCAGGTGACGACAGTGTGTCACCTAAATGCTGCTGATTTTCATGTGATAACAATATCATAATATAAAGAAGATATGTGGAGATAAATACTGGGAGATTTGTCTGCAGATACACTAAAGTTTAAACATTTATGTTATTATCTATTAAAGGGTAACTAAGGTACTTTTTCAACCTGGATCCTGTTTTCACATGTTTTTGTGTGACTAATGAGAACAATTTTTGAAATTGGTCCAGTATTGAGGGCTGTCCTTAATTCACCCAGTTCAGTGTGAAAATATCAGGAGAGAAGCGAGAGGGAGGTTGGACATCAGAGAAGTGGCAGGGGCAAACAGGGTGTATAGAGCCACCATATTTTCACATCTAACTGGGTAAATTGAGGGTTTCTTTCAACCAAACCAGAGTTAGTGATCGTTGGAGCAGTGAAAAGACAAACCAAGATGGTTTTTGTGAGTTTTATTTTGTTTCTGTGGACTTTGAATAAAGTGTGTTTTATGAGGTTAAAATGAGTGAGTTTGGCGATAGTGATTTCAGGGCACAGACTGTATAAAATAATGGCCATAACCTCTGTGACATCACCCATTGTTTCGTGGACTTCTGTTTTAAAACTTCAAGTTTGGCATTTTGGCTGTCATCTTGTTTATTGGAGCCAGACATGACCACATAAGGATGAGAGGGTGGAGCTATGAAGGAGTGAGGGGTGGATCGCACTGCGAGCCCAAGGACACTATCCATAGGCAGCTTGTCACTCAAGGCGACCAAGTTCTTAATTATGCATAATTGCAAGTCTTAATAAAATGTAAACAGGTGAGTTACATGAGACTTCACCCCCTGTACAGTTGTCATGAATGTTGAAATCAGCTTTGGAGACGAAAACCATTTTTTGTTCCAGGCTGTAAAGCTCTAATTTCTGCTGTAAAGTTGGGCGTTTTAACATGGAGGTCTGTGGGGAAGGACTCACTTGTGGAGCCAGCCTCAAGTGGCCATTAGAGGAAATGCAGTTTTTTGCACTTCCGCACCGAATTCATTTTTCAGCACTGGAGGTTGACGCTCGGTCGAAGAAATAAAAGAAGGATGCTGTGTTCGCACAGTTGATCAAGACATGCAAACAGCTCAGTAGGAATATTGTCCTTTTCAGATATGGGCAAAAACTAAATAATTGCTCCATGTAAACACAGTCACTGCTACAGCAACTGGTAATTGCTGCTTCATTTTTTCAGTGCTGGAGGTTGCTGCTTTTTTCAGGGCTGTTTCTAGTTACCAAAAAGGATCTTACTCTTTTACAAAAAGGTCTATCTCTGTAGGGATCCTTTCTATAATTTGCCGGACAGTAAGAATAACACTCTGAGCCTGTCAGAGGCAAAAACAAACACTTTTCGTGCTTAAATTGCAGCTTGTATCACACCTGTCGGCTGCAGCCCTCTTATTCAATACCGGACCACTTTCAAAATATGTTGTTCCCATTAGTTACTTAGACACAAACACATGGGAATGTAGGATCCAGGTTTGAAATTACAGAGTAACCCTTTAAGGTTTAATATGTCTGGTTGGTGAATGTTACAAATCAATGAGCAGGATAGCTTTATGTTAAGATTTGATTAACAGGACTGTTGCATCAGTGTAATCAAAGTATCTTGATTTGTAAGACGTGATAAACTGGATTACAATAGAAAACAGAATTCCCATCTGGTCATTTCATCAATTTTTGAGAAAATTCAAAGTATTAGATAATGTCACAAAATAAAATTATTTTTACTGTGATTTGTCCATCCATTTATACATTATTGGCCACCTCCAATAGAAAGGTCATCAACAGGTGTTTGATTTGGATTAGAAATCAGGTCAATTAAATGCTGTCTTGGCTACAACAGGCCTCAGTTAAGCATAACTCACTCTGCATATTCAAATCGAGACCTCACCAGCACCCCAACTCACCAGAGTCCAAGGGGACTTCAGGTGCAGCCGTAGGTCCTGCTGCTCTACAGGTGACCTCTCTGAGAGCTCCATGTCACCCCAACAGGAGCCTCCTCTCCTCCCCTGTCCACCTCAGCCAACCTGCTCCTGCTCTGTGCAATGCAGCACAAATCCTAGGACCTATTGTACCCCTGTGACTGAGCACAAACTCTAAAGGGAAATTTCCCCCAGCCTTTAGCCCTAAAACACTTACATAACCTCTTTGTAACGGCCCTGTCACCGCCAACTTGAGTCTGAAAAGTCTCTACAGAGACCTTGAAACAGCCTGAGGGAACATTTTAATCTGCTTCTTTAAATAATTCATAAGTCATTTACTCTATAATGCAAAAACAATGACAAAGGCCCATTGAAAGCTCCATTTAGCGTGTGATGTAAAGCCAACCATACTGAGCGTATTTAAGCATGCTATAGTTGTTTTGCATTAGTTTCTACGCCGAGGTGAAGGTAAAGCTGATAGAGATGCAGCTGTTAGAGGTCATGAACTAAATTTGACCAGTTAATACTCAAAAAGTCACCCAGATTCCACAACACTTCACTTAAAACTGCAGATGGCACAGAGGAAAAGTCAGGGGATCACCAAGGTTAGGATAAAACATCTGGGATCATGAATATATGAGCAAAATGACAATCCACCCAAAAGATGTTGTGATATTTCAGTCTTGACTAGGGCTGCACGACATGAAGGAAATATATGATAACGACATTGAATATTGCCATAAAGATATTACTTGTGATAAATAAACAGATATTAAAGTGTGCTTAATTCTGCCTTTCCTTTGCTTTCAATAAATTGCTAAAATTTAAATAAAATACAAATCCAAAAAGTGCTTGTTGAGTTAAAGGTCCAGCGTATATAATTTAGGGGCATCTTTTGGCAGCCAGAGAACATAATAATCATAACTTTGTTTTCTTTAATCACCGGAAAGTAAGAATCGCTGTGTTTCCATTACCTTCGAATGAGCCGTTTATATCTACATAGGGAGCAGGTCCTAGTTTGAGTCCATTATGTTGTACTACCATGTTTCTACAGTAGCCCAGAATGGACAAACCAAACACTGGCTCTGGATAGGACCATTCACATTTTGCCTTTTTTTGTCAGCTGCTGTAGTTCTCCTACATGCTTGGCACACTGAAGAAGTTTCAGTTGGTTGCAATGTTGCAGCCTCACCACTAGATGCCACTAAATCCTACACACTAGACCTTTAAAACAATGAAAGACATTATTCTAACATTCCTTTATCAAACAAACTGAACACTGAACTTAAGACAAAAGGCATCAATAGAAAAATAAGGGTAGTTACATTTTTAAGTCCAGTTTTCTGTTAATACTGTCTTTAAACTAACTAAAAAAATCCTTGAGTGCACTCTTTCGAGATGTGCTTATTGCCTTAGCAGCCAAAGTAGTAGACCAACTGAACAACATTTCCATCCCTACAGCCACGCTGCTAGCATGTCTAAAAATGGCTGTTTAGTGATGATAAAGTCGCAGCTGTAACTCAGTTATAAGTAATGCGACAAAAGGTACTGCAGGCATTCACTGTGTTCTGCCACCAGTTGATAATAGTTTCCCACTGTGTTCCTGTAATGTGCAGTGGCTTTCCCCTCCAGTGAACCACAGCACATTGTAGAGTGAAAGTGCGATGTTCATGTAATGGACAAAGCAGAAGAGTCTAGATGAGAGTCATCAGTCGTGATAACAACGCTGCACAACCACAGCTCTCCAGTGAGCTGACTGCACTCTGTCTGTTTGATCTACACATCACGCCAAATTTAGTAAAAGCCTCGACTCCCACAGCACTTCATATAAACCCCTCTGCTACAGCACACAGACGAAGAGAGAGAAAGAAAGAAAGAAAGAAAGAGACTTTTGGAGCTGAAGGTGTTGTATTTCCTCATTCACAGGAAGCAAACTGTAATAACTTCATAGTTTTAAACTCTGTAGCTTGTCTTTTAGGTCCTTCTCTGTGCTACATTACTAAATGCCCAGTACTTAATGATTACACATCCAGCACAACCAGATCTCACGACACTCTGAGGGGGCCTTAAGAGGTGTTAATCCTGTTTACAAGATTAGGACAAATCTAGCTTTCCCTGTCTCGGCACGTTTGTCCCGCTTACTTTACGTCCAGTGTCCAACGTGATTCTGCGTCACTCACTGTTGCTCTGACCAACATTGTGTCACTGCAGCTTTTTACTTCAGCCACCTGACAAATCTAACATCACAAGGGTTTTCATTCAGCTAACTGTACGCTGATAATGAACCTAGGGCTGCACCTTGCAGGTATTTACTTTATTCAGTTAATAATTTAGTCCATAAAGTGTCAGCCTAACAGTCCCAAACATCACAATATTGAATATATAATTTTATAAAACAGAGAAATGCAATAAATCATCACATTTAAGAGCAGCAACCAGAGCATGTATGGCAAACTAATCATTTCAGCATTAAATGCAGCCTATTATGTATGGGTGATATGGTCTCTGGGAAAAATATTAATTTGGATATCTCCACATTCACTGGTTTATCAGCTGTATTGGTGACTGTAAGAAGGAAAAGACAGCAGTTACAATTTGAGGTGTGTTTGAGGGGGTTGGGGAGTATCGTGATATTTTGCATGGCAGTATTGTGTCTTTACACGGATGCCACAAATTGACTTGATCAAAAAGTCACCCAGATTCCACAACACTTCACTTAAAACTGCAGATGGCACAGAGGAAAAGTCAGGGGATCACCAAGGTTAGGATAAATCCTCTGGGGATCATGAATATATGAGCAAAATGACAATCCACCCAAAAGATGTTGTGATATTTCAGTTTTGACTAGGGCTGCACAACATGAAGGAAATATATGATAACGACATTGAATATTGCCATAAAGCTATTACTTGCGATAAATAAACAGATATTAAAGTGTGCTTAGTTCTGCCTTTCCACTGTTTTCAGTAAACTGCTAAAATTTAAATAAAATAATCTGAGGTGCGTTTGAGGGGGCTGGGGAGTATTGTGATATTTTGCGTGGCAGTATTGTGTCTTTACATGGACGCCACAAATTGACTTTTTTACTTTATTAGGGTTGTAGGAATTGACACACTTAAGTATCTCTCAAACACTGTATCCACCCTGCTGTCATTTTTATTTTATTTTTTAATACTAAAGGCAACTGTTGGTTCCTTTGGTCCGACTGGACAAAAAGAACACATAAAAAGTAAACTTTTTTATGCATATAGGTGTGTGTTCTTTACTTTTACTATGACAGTTTTCCTAAATTTATATCTTTAAAAAAAGGCAAAATATCACCTTGCACACAGTATCGCACTAATTCGCAATATATTGAACTCCTTCATCGTTATTGTATCATATCACCAAATTCTTGTCGGCTACTTAACTCAGACCTGTTGTCCCCGTTCATGGACACTTTTTTATGCCATCTAGTGGCAGTAAGAGCACCATACACTAATCCATGTAAAAACAAGTTGGCAGCCATCTCTGCCAAGTCAGTCTGCAGCCGATCCCAACACAAAAGTGAACAAGATCCAAAACCTGATCACATTTTATGGTTGAAACTTGTTCATTTATGATTAATAATGTTTATAGTTTGATATGGAAAAAAATTTGACCGATTTTAGCAACAGTAACAAGCTGAGACACTGTTAATAAGGAAGTGCTCGTTTGAGGACATTGGGACTTTATTATCATTGACAATGTTAAGTATTTTATACTTATTGGGTCCTACTGATCACAAATAGCTAAGAGAAATGAAAATATATACCAAACAAAAGTTCTGGTCTCAGGAGGATATTGCAAATACAAATTTGACTTCTGGTAGCCGACTAGAATTATAAAATCAGTTGCTTTTACAGTCCAGGTACATTACAGATGACTGACGTGAGATGAACAGACTGAAAACTTTTATGTAATTAGATAAAATATATGTTAACAAAGTTTGGGGACATAATATACAATTGGAAAAAGTTATAAATCACAGTATATCACAACATATGTTATCGTAATAGCATATCGCAAAGCGTTTAAAATTGTAATAATATTGTATGGTGACTTAGGTATCCGGTTATTACAACAGCCTTAAGTAAATACTGTAAATACTGACTATTGTATCACAGCTGAGATATGATACAGAACACTGATCACAAATCAGGGTCCTTATCTCTGTTTGACAGTTTGCTGTTTAACACAATCAGATGATAAATCCTATATACTATCAGCCACTGAGTGTGAAAACTATAATGCTCATTATGATAATAAAGATGTAGTCAAGTCTGTATAATAGCACCATACCTATTTATGTTATGCAACACCTGTAGATGATGTTAAATCTTCAGGTGAAGCAAAGTAGGCTATTATAAAATCTATGAGGCGTTCAGGGACACAGCTGGAGGGTTGAATTTGACAAGACAGACATTTATGAGACAGACTGGAATTTTATAAATAGCAATAATATGTCGTACAGTAGTAAATGTCCGGTTTGTCTTCATGAGAAGACACAGAGTGTCTGCTAGTCCGTGTTTTATCGCTGATATCCGCTGTCACAACACTTCACACGCGACACTCAGTATCAAACAGGACTCGCGAGTTACACACCAGCCGCTAATGACTCCTGTAAAGACTGCGCTGACACATTAACCAGCATTAATACACTTCCTGTCTGTTTTTATTCATTCAGAGCTGTTAAATGAGGAGGAGGGCTGATTATATCATCCTACCTGCTGGAGTAGAGGCTCAGCCGCAGGGAGTCACACCTTCCGTCAGCTCTTCCTCCACCGGTCTGTGTGTGTGAGCTTCTGCTGCTGCTGTGATGAAGCCGACACAACCACGTGACTCTGCAGCGCTCAGTGTGCACGTGATTACAGCATGAGGACGTAAGATCAGGTTCATTATTGGGGCTCATTATTAGGGGTATGTGAGGAAAGTTGTATGTTTGTTCTCCTGCACTGTCAACCTTTGAAATGTGGAAGTCCCCTCAGAACATTTTTTTAATGAGAAATTTACATTTCTAAAAATAAAAATAGTCTCTCAAAACAAACTTGAAAACATTAAAAACGATCATTAAAAAAAAAATTTTAACATCGCTTCAGTAGTCGCAGCTCTCTGTATCTGTAAGGCACAGTGACACAACCAAGAGGGGGCCACGGGGGGGCCATGGCCACCCTAATACAATTGCTGGCCCCTCCAACGAAAATTATTGGAGATTGACATTACTGTTTTTGAGAGGCTATAGTGCACTCATTTTTTATGCTAGCACAAAAGTAGTAGTATATTGTGAAACTAGACAACCTAAGGCATCCATTGGTACCAACTGTGTCAGTGTACATGTCAGTGGGTCCTATGGGTACCCATGTGTCTCTCCTAAACTTGAAAGGGTTTGTTCCCAGTAAATGTTTGTTCCCTAAAATCAATGTACTCCTTTAAATTAAAGCTGTATATTTGTATTTCTAAGGAGAAGGACAACCAGCCTATTTGAAGAACAACAAATTGCCCATCAGCTACACAACACATTAAAACAGAATTGTTGTGGAACTCAGAATGTTAACTGTAGGCTACCAGTGTTGGTCCATGCACATCGGATAATTAGTAATATTAACTGCAAAAAATCAGTTTGTGATTCCCTAAGTCTCCATGTTGACATAGTTTTTAACTTGCCTATATACATTTTTCCGAAATTCAGTTACGTAGCTTTTTTTTTTAGTGTGCCAGCCCAAGATTTTCAATGACCCCATCTGGCCACATCTATGAAGATTATCTGGGGGCACCACTTGTAAGGCAATGTACTCATGTCAGTTTCAGCCAGTTTCCTTCTTTCTGTTTCATTCTTACAATTCCTTTGATCTAAATTGTGTTTATGGTATCCTGTGTTTATTACTGATTTGTTTTCACTTCAAATTTATTGTCCAAAGTTTCACAATTGCTTCCAGTAAAAACCTCAAAGGCCAGCTGTAGTCTTCAGCCTTTATTAGAAGCACACTGAGCTGGCTGTATGACTGTGAAGCTGTGACACGAAATCTGCTCTCCAAATCTAACTCTGACAAATGTAGGCTATCACCATTAATCTACTGATGAAACTATTTTAATTAATGGGCACATTTGACTCCACAAAGCACTGGGTAAAAATATGATCTCCATGTTGTAGCAGATTATTAGTTAAAATACTTTTAAGAAATAATTGTTGAATTTATAGGTATTTATGTATCAAGTCCAGGGGCGTAAATATAGACAGTGCAGGCAGTGCAGTTGCACTGGGGCCCATGAAGTGGGGGGGCCCAGAGAGAGAATGGGCCCTCCAACAATGTGCTGGGTGGAGAATGGGCCCTTATGTGACTGCTAATTTGAAAATATGCCTGTGTTCAAAGAAGAACTCTTATTAAATTAAAAACAGTACCATATGCTATATGTGCCCTTGAAGAGGGCAAATCCATCTCTGTTATGTTTAATTTTTCTTTTTTTGTACAACAGTCATTAGCATCTACAACAAAATTATATGCTTATTCTACAACTGTAAATCAACTATTAAAATTGTTAAATTAATAATTTTTCATTTTCTTTGGTATTGTTACATATAGATATGCAATGATGATTGCTGGTCTCTGATCATGTGGCGAGACAGTATTTGCGTGACAGCATGCACTAGGGCCTGTCGTAACCCACCTTACGTCACTGATTAAGAAGCTCCCAAATCTAATCAGATCATCTACTGGGGGACCCTGTGGTTCATGATGTTTCTATCATATCAACAGTTATTTCTCTTCAGTCACTGCATTTAAATGGTGACTCAACAAAATGACTTGGTTCACCAGAACAAAAACATCTCTCCTTAAAGTCTCCTTAAAAGAACAACCAGATTGTTCAGTGTAAAACATTTGTTTTTATTCTACCATGATTATGCAAGAATATATGTAGTACTAAAATTATTTATTTACAGTAACATTCCTACCCTAAATATTTTTTTATATTAGAATTATGTATGTCATATTTTATCCCTATGTACTCATTTCTGCACTATTTTATGTCTTAGATTCTTTTTTTAATGTTCTTGTTATACATATTTAATGATATAATTTATGTAATGAGCATTGTTGGAACAGGCCTGACATCTAAGATTGTCATTGCCAATGACTGCAATCTCTGTAAATGTTGAGCACATGACAATAAACATTTTAAATAGATTTTATAACTGATAAGATCTGATTAAATGTGGTGCAGTTCAATTTTACCCATTGATTCTATGCTGAAGTGAGTTACAGCAAATCAATGTGATTTACTTTATTGATCACAGTGTGCAGTCTGGTTGCCAGAATAAATGTTGGCATAATGTACGTTTCTGCAAACCACAGAGATGTAACATTTGCAGAGGTGTTGGGGGAGATGCAGTGCACATGAACATGACAAGACATTTACATCAAACTGGTGCAGAAAAGGCACATTTTGCCTAGTGGTCACAACATCCAGCATCTTTTCTCCTCTTCCTCTGGCGAGAAACTCGTCTTATATAGATGTCGTCAGACCTACGTCACTTTAGAAACAATGTGATATGTATGAAATGTGTTTGCAGAGACGGCAATGCCAACATTTTCCTCTGGCGTCTGGGCTGCAGAGTAAGGACATTACATTTCCACGCTCTCCATTTGGAGGTCAGAGGTCACAATCAGCTTCAGAGCAGCTTCCCTGCAGGTGGTTTGGGATTTTTAGGGATTTGCTCCAGGACGGGTCAGCAGGGCAGATATTTGGCTACACAGGTTAGACTGGACCTGAATCCTCAGCCGATGAAGGGCAGTGTGCCTCCAGCTGTCTTATAAATGAAAGTAAAGAGAAACTAATGAAGTGAACCAGCCATTAATTCTGGAGAGGAAGCAGAAGGTTTCAGTTCCCCATTAAACACCTGCTGAGTCAGACTATGACGGGATGTTTACACAGGGATTTCCTAGATTGTTACATAAGAGTTTACTGCATATTTTTTTATATTTTCGAAATATACTGCAAAAAACACTGCTTTGCATTTAGTTGATCTGTCAGTAAAGTTAGGCCTTTTAAATCCGTATGCTGTTGTGGATGCTTTTGCCTGCTGTGTCCTTAAAATGTGCCAGTTAGCAGTATTACTGCTCTTAGCTTTTTTGTAAACTCAACAATAAGTCAGTGAGAGATTAAGATAAATTTCAAAAATGATGAAACCGTTGGACAAATATTAAAATGTTTTATGTAAGGAGCTGTGGCCAGTTCTCCTCGCCGCATTATTGTCTTCACTGGACCTCGTCAACCTTTACACATGTTGATTTAAATTAATTCTGCCCTGTTTCACCCCAAGAATGTCTCATGTTTGCTTTGTTCTTCCCTCCAACTATCGAGTGTCCAGCCTCTGTAAGGCTCGAGAGTCTGTGTCACTCTGAATATCCAGAAATCTCGTGGCACTATAAACTAAGAAGTGCAACCATTTAAACCAAAATGTCAACAGATCTTTTATTCAAGCAAATATGATGAAAAATACAACAAAATATCAAATCAAATGCAGGCAAACTGTGAAAACTGTGGTCTTTAAATTGAAATATATGAGTAGATGAGCTATTATTATCATTAATATTTAGTAGGAGCAAATGCAACGTCCAAGTTACAATATCTGGAAACACATCAATCATATAAGGCTCAAAAGCCCACATCAAACTTGTAGCTAATGTACGTATATGTGAGTATAATCAATATGAATCTCCACTAGATTAACTCAGTGTTTGTGGCTGTTTCAGCTCCTGGTCCAGGCTCCTCCACTGTGTTTGCAGGCCGCTCGGGGGCATCTGATTGGTCAGCAGTCAAAGTCTGGTCAGCAACTTCTTTTGCTTCTTTTGTTTGTTCTGAATGTGAAGCTTTGGGTTTGACTGCAGCCTTCACCTCATCTTCAACCTTCTCCATGGGAAGAGTCTTAGATACAGATTCTGTAAGAGAATGATCATTAGTACACACAGTTACACAGTCTGTAATGTTTCAGATATCACAGATGTGATTTCAGCCCTCTCACTCTTTCGGCACTGTGATTTCTTCCCAGTCCCAGTGACGGGGGTTTTCATCTTTTCCTCTGGGGTGTTTGGGCCAAACACCACGTTTCCCTCTGCATCAGTCCAGTATGAAGTCACCCCCAGGTCAGGTGTTCCCTCTACGATCTCCAGCTGGGAGGAGAAAAACTGGGGTCAGACATGGCCATGTATAAAAAGACCTACTCTAACCAGAATTAACCATCAGCAGCCAAAGAATGGTGTCCTCTACTTACCTGGGACATTCAGTGAGGTCAGAAATATCACTGATGATTTTCATAATATAATCACTCTATCCAAATCTGTATTCACCTGTGTATACACATTTTAAAACCCCTTTTTTTTGCATTGCATCATTTGCAATATTTTTCAAATGATTTCTGTCTGAAACTGAGGGATATTGCTCCATATTAAGTATAAATGTCCTTTAATCAGATTATTCAATGGCTTTTAAAGGAGCAGTGTGTGAGATTTAAGGGGATTTAGTGGCATCTAGTGGTGAGGATTTGAGACTGCAACCTGCTGAAACTTCTCACAGTGGTGTTCATGCCGTTAGCCCAGCACCTGCTAATGTGTGCTAATTTTTATCTCTGATAACATAATGTGTGCTCACCTCATTTCTGATGCAGACATTCAGGAGTTTTTTTAAAATTTTATTTAAGATTTTATGCTTTTGCCTTCATTAGATAGGACAGTTTAAGCATGAAGGGGGAGAGAGAGACAGGGGATGACATGCAGCACAGGCCAAAATCAAATGTGTGGCCGCTGTGGCAAGGACATAGCCTTTGTACATGGTATGCCTGCTCTACCTGGTGAGCTACTGGGTGGCTGTTCAGGGGATTTTTACCGTGAGCCGAATTATCTGCAGAGGTCTTTTTCTCTTCAAAACAAACACACACCCTAAACGGGTAGAAACACTGCATAAAGCAGTTTCATGTTATAAAAACAATCAGTGTTTTTCTGACAGTCTCATCACAGAGGGGCTGCAAACTACAGTGGCTGGCGGTGAAAACATGAATTTGTCCGTTCTGGGCTACTGTAGAGACATGGCGATGCAACGTGGTGATTTCCGTAGATGGGGACCTGCTACCTATGTAGACATAAATGGCTCATTCTAAGTTTACAAAAACTCAATGATTATTTTCAGCCGATTATACGCTAAAGAAAACATACTTATATATCCTCCTAAGACCAGAACTTTTTTTTGGTATACATTTTTAATTTCTCCCAGCTCCCAGTGATTGGCAGGACTTGATAAGTATAAAAAACTAAGATTTGTCAACAATAATAAAGTCCAGATGTCCTCAAACGAGCACTTCCTAATTAACAGTTTCTCAGCTTGTTACTGTTGCTAAAATCAGTCAAATTTGTTGCCATATCAAACTACAAACATTATCAATCATAAATAAACAGGTTTCAACCATAAAATGTGATCAGGTTTTGTACTTTGTCCACTTTTGTGTCGGTATCAGCCGCAGACTGACTCGGCAGAGATGGCTGCCATCTTGTTTTTACATGGATTAGTGTATTGTGCTCTTGCTGCCACTAGATGGCACAAAAAAGTGTCCACGAACGAGGACAACAGGTCTAAGTTAAGTAGAATGAAGTATATGGTCAAGTAAATCCAAAATGTGATGTCCTCATATGAGGACACAGGGTCTCAGGAGAATATTATATCCATTTCTGCCAATATATCCCCTAAATCCTACACACTGGACTGGTTTCAGACAGTTGGACAAGATAGATCTGCAAAATAGGATGTAGGCTCTACGGGATGATTTTTTCCTTGGCAACAGCATTTTTTTTCTCAAATGATGTTCACGTTTTTATGCATTCACAAATGGCTTGAAAAATAGTGCATATAGCTGCTATAAATGGGAAAAAAATCTCCCAGGGGAGCTCCAAATGTTTACAATGTCTGGCTGCACACCTGAGCATACTGTTCATGTATCATTAGGTGACTTTAGCTTGCTTTGGAACAATGCCCTTTGTCAATATATTTCATCTATTCTGTTCATTCTATTCTGGCCATAAAGACAGCCATTAGGATTTGACAGATACGCAGTAGTTCTGCCCTGTTCGAAAAATGATTCGATATTTCAAGTTTTGTTGTTGAGCGTTAGATAAGAAGATTGATAGCTTTCATGTATCTTCAATATGAAATTTCAATCAAGAGATGGCAGGAGAAACTTAGCTTAGCATAAAGTCTGTAGACAGGGGGGAACAGCTTGCCTGGCTCTGTCTAAAGATACAGAAATCTGCTTGCCAGCACCTCTAAAGCTCACTAATCAATACATTATCTTGTTTGTTTAATCTGTACAAAAACTGGACTTTTTACTGGCCATGCGCAGTGACTTTCAGTACTCGTGATAAAACTGATGTAGAAAATGACTATTTATAACCTCTATCTTACAGAAAAACCTTGGATATAATGCTATGTGTGATAGTACCGTTGGATGGTGACCAGACAACAAGGGGAAACATTAGTTTTCTCTCAATAACATTCAGGTGAGCTTGATTTTCTGTGCTCAGTCTGTGCTCATCTACAGGTTATTTTGTTTGTTTATTTTTTCAAGAGCATCATCATAAATCAAGCCCACGATGTTTACAGGAGAGAGAGGGGTGGTCTCCATGCTGGTGGTGGATCTTCGGAGCAGTCCGAGTCTACAGTGGCTGGGAGTGGAAAAGGGAAGAGTCGACTGAAACCAGAGAGTGAAGAGTGAAGGGTGCAGGGTTCAAACCAACATGAGGCAACTCAAAGAGGAAGAGGAAGTGGGGAAGTACATGCTTGTTTTTATTAGTCTCATCAAGAAACAGGGGAAGTGATGCAATAACCACTATACGTAAACAGTGATCTGACAGTTTTCATAACAGTGGCGTCAGTAACATCACAATACAGGAGGCACCATAATCATGAATGATGGACAGTGAAGGGGATCTCGTAACAACAGTGGATCACATGACTAACAGTGACAGTGGGCAAACGTGTGTTCACTACAGACAGGGAGACAATGGAAGTGATGTCACGGTAACAACATTCAAATGACTGTGAATAATAATAAAACAAGACTAAATGTAAAATCTAATGAAATGACACAGTGCATGTTTCAACCCATTTCTAACAAATTTAGCATACTTGTATTTCTACTCTCAAACCTAAGGAGCATTATCACCAGACTTTGGGGTCTCCTGCTCATGCCTAGCAAATCCACTATGTACTATTTCATAAACTATTTCATTAACATCAGCAGCTCTGTCCAACTCATTGTTGGATTTGGGGAAGAGAGAGTGTAAATATCCCAGCTGGCACCGGACGTCAATTCAACATCAGGAAGACGATGTTAAATTTTGGTTGGAATCAAAATCATGTTGAGCATAATTTAAATATCTGTCAACGTTACAATTTCCTGTTGTGTAAACATTAACATTAGAATGTTTAGCAGATGTTGGGTTTTGTTCTCCATACCTTACAACTAAATGACGTTATTGTACGTCAAGATAACGTCGGCACGAGACGACTGGAAGATGCTGGATTTTGTTAATTTTTATAACATAAAACCAACAAAATATCACATCATCTGTCGTCAGTACTCTACATCAAATTAACGTTGGAATCACACGTTGTCCTGACATTGAATTTTGGCGTCACATCCTAAATCCAACCAAATATCAGCATCTTACAGCGTTGGTGGCCACTAGCCAGCTGGGTACATCCTGGAGCTAATGCTAGCTCAGTTAGCTAACTAGCTACAGCTAATAAAATGTAGAAATGAGGATCCTGCTTTTGTCCACCTGTGTCTGACATATAGGATCCACTATTTAAAAGTGACTCACAATTTCGCCAGTAAATCTGCCACCATTACTGAAAACAGAAAGCTTGAAATCCTAAAACTGTGATGTTCTAGATTCCCACTAGCACTTGAATGCACCAACAAGAAGACTTCCTCTATTCAACGACTTTGCAAAAACTTTAAATCATGACTCTCTGTATCTTAAGCATGTTTCATGTCCCTGCAAAATGCTTTCTATATTATATTAACCTGAACTAAAAATAAATTGCTCCATGCATAATTTGTAACAAATGGGATGAAAGATGTAAACACATTTGGCTTTTTAATAGACTTTGCACACTAACTTGATTTCCTTTCTATGACTCTCTGCATCCTATCAACACAGTATGTCTTATATGTTATCTTTAGCCTTCTTTTCTCAAGTAATGTTTCATTTCTCTTCTAAATCAAACACATCTGCCTCTCTGCATGCCACAACTTTACACAAACAAAAACTAAAACTGCACCAGTGACATTTTCTGAGTGGACATGATGTTAGGTTTGTTGTTATTGGACCAAATGAATACATGTTTTTTATGATTTGAAGTCACAACTCTTCACTCTGGATTTCTCTGTGAACTTGTTGTTGACATTTCAGATTCAGCACCTCTAGAGTTAATTTTAATATTCTACACAAAAACATCGAACACATCCTCAAGCCTGTTTCTTTCCTTCATCTGTTTCCAGTGTTTTTCATTTGTACATATTTACGACAAGATTTGGACCGCTTTTATTTATGCTTGCTGCCCGCCTCATCAGGGATGAAGACACTTACGGTGAAGTCCCCGCTCTCTGTGCCGTACTTGTTCTTCACCAGGATGCTGTACTTGCCAGAGTCTGACGTGTTCACGCCGATGATGGTGAAACTGGCAAACTTGCCTGACGCAAACTTGAGGATGCAGTGGTCGTCGGATGTGATCTCCCTGTCATTCTTCAGCCAGGTGACCTCTGGCACGGGGTCACCCGAAATGTTGCAGGTGAGATTGAGGGTCTGGTGAGAGGATAACACGCAACACACACACAATATTATACAGTCATAACAACTGTGTTCAGAAACATAGAGTCAGTCTCTCTATCACTCTCATTGTGCTGCAAGACACTGGCCTCTGGAAGCACATTTCCACCAGTGTGATGGGAAAAAAACTGTAAGTCATCAAGAAACTTTCTCAAAACTAAGAGTGAGTATCTTAAACTAATGACTTACTCTCATGCAGCAATGGCCGCAGACTGAAATCAAATCTCCAGCCACTGCAGCAAGGACAGTGCCTTTTTAAATGGGATGCTTGCCCCAACTACTGAGCTACTGGGCACCCCTTATGTCATTATTTTAATAAAGTTTCTTATTATTTTGAGATACTGAGTCATTATGGTGAGATCTTAAGTCACTATTTTGGGTTATTATATTGTTATGTTGAGATACAAAGTCACTATTTTGAGATAGCAAGTCATTTTTTTTGAGATACTACATTATTTTGCAAAAGTTAATCATTATTTTAAAATACTAAGACATTAAGGGGAGATCTTAAGTAGTTATTTTGAGATATTAAATCATAATTTCCAGATGCTAAGTCATAATTTTGAGAAGGTTTCTCATTATAATGGCACTTCTTTTTGTCACACTTGTGAAAACAGGCTCCCTTACTGGCCTCATAATATCAGCTACAGGAGTTTACCTTGCCCTCCTGTATAGTGACCACATCAGGCAGGCCTCCTGCCACTCGAGCACGACCTGAAAGAAACAATGTTGACTTCAATAATTACAATAAATATGTTTTATTCATATGATAATCTTAAGTAAACAACTTTACTGCTTTACATTAAATATATGTGAATATTTATATTAATATACAGTCTGGGTCATTTATTGCTTTATACATAATCAGTGGAATCTAAACATTTATTTTACAGGACTCTTAAAGTATTAAGGGAAAAGATAAGAGTCATAGGATCTGTATTTTAGTTACATAATCCAAGCTGCAGCATTTCAAACTCCATTATTCAGCATCGAAACAATATCTGAAGGACAGGTCTTCTTGATGAGGGAAACTGCTGTGCAGTAGTTGCAATACAAAGTGGGAATAGTGTAAATATAAAGTCCAAGATAACAATAATTAGAAGGTGCAAATCCCCCAAAAAATACAATACACCAAATGCTGAAATCAGGTTAACACTATGGATCATAAAGACAAAAGGTGACAAACACAAAGCTACGTTAAATACAATCCACTTACTTCTCTCTGCAATCGCAGCAGCCCTGATGAGGTTAAAAAGAAAGAGAGAACAAATTAGATCAGAGGTGCTGAAAATCAGAAGTGAAGTTTGAGGCTTAATCTGCATGTATACTTCTTCATGTATTTCCTCAAATATACAAAATGTGTTTTCATGCATGCTGTGACTGCGGCTTCATAAACCTAAAGATATGTTAGTTATCAAGGAGCAGAGTAAGCAACTTACTTGAGTCTCTGGAATTCTGCAAAAGCATCGTCAAATGCTGCAAAACAGAAAAAAAGTTTGTGGGAACATTAATGCTTGTGTAGGATACAGTAAATGCAAAGAAAATTTTAAAAAGTATGAAAAGTCTATTAGAAGTCGTGATATGTCTAAAAACCACTAATAAAACACTGTTCTCTATAACAGCAAAACAAGCAACATTAAACTACAGCACAAATACAGTTCACAATCATTGAATCAAACAGAAGTGTCAGATATGCAGATGGTCTCACCTTGACCAGACAGCTCAACAGTCCTCCTCAGGCCTCCTTTTCCATCGTTGAACTCAATGGCATATTTGCCCATGTCTTTCTCTGTGGGCTCTGAGATCTGCAGCCACAGCTGCTCTCCCACCACACCGCTCTTTATACGGTCAGAGAAGGCGATGGCTGAATCCCTGTCAGAGACAATACAGACGTGGAAACTCGGAAACATGTTCAAACATACAGACATAGCTCAGGGGAGACTACAGATGGACAAGTGACTGAAATATGTTACTACTGTACCATAAAATCTGTCTCACAAATACTAGAACTGACCAGTTTACTCTCACATACAATATTATGTCATCGAGTAAAAGGTGTATTTCAAAACGCAGATTTTCAAAAGGGAAAAACTCTGAGTGGCTATAACTAACACATTTTAATAACAAATGTACACATGCTTGCATGGATAGCAATGCAGACATAGGACGTACTTGTAGTGCCATGTCACTTGGAGTAAATCGTTGTAGTAGCTGACGAAGGTGTAGAGTCGGATGCCCTGATCTGTGCTTGTGATCTTCAGCGGAGTGGAGGAATTGGCTGCAATTAAAACATGATGCAATTATTTATTTTGGATCAAAATGCAAAACAGACACCAAAATGTTTAATGCATTAATTAAATGTTTATATTCTTACCAATATAACTGAAAACTTTATTCATCAAGTCTTTGAAACCTTAAAGAGAGCAGCAGATGATCATCCTCAGTGACATATATTCACCACAGTCATGATTGGTTGTCTCAGTGTGTGACTGTCAAAGGTTACCTTGATCTGTCAAATTCAGTTTGGAAGTGTCCTTCCCTCTGTCATCCTTCAGAACCACCTCATACACACCAGAGTCCTTCTTGGAAATCTGACAGAGCAGAAAAGTCAAATTCAGTCATGAAACAACATGAGAACAAGGAATATGATTTATATTTATCTGCTGCAGAGACACATAAATGACACAAAGGCAAAAAAGCCGTCAAACAAACAAACATGAATAAATAAAGCATTCTCAGGCAGAACGGCAAAACCAGAAGTGGCCATTGGCCTGTGACGACAACAGATAACTGTTCCCAACTTTTAGTTTCCTCCAGATTACGTCATCGGCAGCTGCTTTGTCTGCAGGGGAGTCGCACTGAAATGGGACACATGTGACATCAAGTTTATATGTTAGACGAGCAGGAAGGATGGCATGTCACTGACGGCGCTGGGACAGACGTTTAGAGACGATACAGTGGGATGGGGATGAGTTGTGAGATGGAAAAGAGGGTTAAATGAAGTTTGAGAGAATGAAAACAGAGAGGAAGAGGACAAAACAGAGAGAGAAAGTGAAAACGGTGGCTAAATTGTCAGTCTGAATTAGTTCAATGGAATTGTTAGGACTTAAAAATGATAAGTTAAATTAATTTTAAAGACAGGTATTGCTAGTAATTTTGAAAAAAAAAAATGTAGGGGTGTCTATGACGACGCATTAGGGCTGTTGTAGTTCAAAAAAATATGTAGTTGGGGAAGGGTTTAATATTCTGACAAATTAAAAAAAAAAAATTATCTGATATTAAAGTCACAAATTTACGAGGAAAAAAAACCTTGATATCCTCTAAAATTTAAGTCATAAATTTACAAGGAAAAAACTCAAATATTCTCTGAGATTATAAGTCAAACATTTCTGAAAAAAACCTTAATATCCTTTAAGATTAAAGTCTTCAATTTATGAAGAAAAAACTCAAATATTCTCTGAGATTACAAAGTCATAAATTTGCTGAAAAAAATCCCTCAGAAATTCAGAGATTAAACAAATTTACTCAAAAAAAACTTGAATATTTAATATTTATTTAGATTAAAGTGGTAACTTTATGAGGAAAACCTACTCTAAAATTTGCGAGGAAAAAAACCCAAATATTTTTGGAGATTAAAGTCACTTCAAAGGAGGTCACATAGCCATCAGCTTGACATTCTTTCTGGGCTTCCTAGCAATGTTGAAATATGATGTTAACAAGAACTGGCCTACTCAGCTATTCTGCCACAGTTTATGTGCACAGTGTGCATTCAGGAACTTCATACATCCTAAAAACTGAAAATCATAAGTTAACTACATCTAAAAAATAATAAACTCACGACTCACACACGACACAAACCCTTGTCTCCTGGGTGAAAGTCCTGTGTTTGACCCATTTATCAGCTGTGACGTCCTACCTGTGTGGACTTGTCGCTCTTTATACTCATAACCTAACTTTCTTATAAAATTTATGACATTATATAATATCAGAGAATATTCACTTTTTTTCTTGTAACTTTGTAAGTTTTTTGTTTTAATCTACAACAGCCCTGATTCCCTGTCATAAGTTTCTTAGTGTAATTAGTAAAAAATAAATAAATATTTTAACAACTTTTTAAATTCCAACTTACTCATAGACCTGATTCTTGAGGACCACCATTAAAGGTGAAAAATGCCCATAAAATGTGAAGGATACAAACA